TCTTTTTTACTTTTACTTCAGTAAAATATCCGTTGGAAAAGTGAAACTCACTTAGTTGAGTAACATTTCTGGCTTTTCCACCCACCCCTTTAGTTAGAGACACAAAAGATTGTTTAACTAAAAACATCTGATTGAGATCACACGCCTAAATTTAACTTCATTTATTGTTTTAGGAATATAATCTAATAAGTATAATTGTATTTGTTTGTGGAAAAGCTGAAAGAGAGGCTTTTTCATTATTGGGATTCATCATTATGATGAGCTTTAAGCTTTTTCAATTCAAAATGTCAGAAGTTGAATTGAGTTCCAGGCTCTCATACAGTAGACCAACAAAGCCTTTAGCAAACATGCAAACTGAACCGGATGATCGAGTCCGCCTCTTTGGAATTGGGCAAACCTAAAGACACAAAATGACCTGATCGACCGGTTCAATCTGCATGTTTTCTGATCCAAAACAAGGCTTTGTTTAGGTCCACTCTATAAAACCTGGAACTCAACGCTATTTCTGACATTTTGAATTGAAAAAGCTTCCTGGATGGGAAGAGAAACGTCTTCAAACTCGGAAACAAAGTCCAGTGGATTGTTTTTTTTTTTACTTTTTTGGAATAACTATGATCTGGATGACTGAGTATATTCACAAGCATGTTGTCATGGAAACTTGGTGATGAGAAAACAAGAGCCAGACCCCTAAAGAAGGACAATCCTCCCCTCCTGGCTTGGTATGCTTAGTCGGCCCTTTTGCAGACTCACCTTAACTTCTTATAAATTCACAATCATTCACATGATCAGCTTAAAACTTTCTGTAACATTTCTTGACCTAGACTGACAGAGGATCAAAGGGAAAAAAAATATTGGAGCCATTTTTTTTTTTTACTTAAAATACCGCAGACATAAAAGAAAAATCTTTATTTATTCTAACAGTATTTGTGATCAAATAAATATCAACATCTTTAGGAGGAGACATCCAGAGCTGCTTGCAGTGGCTCCTGTGCCGCTCAGGCTCGTTTGCTTCTGCTGATGAAGGTTACAGTTCCAGCTGTGGCCATCTGGGGAGACAAAGAGGCAGAATGGAGAAGAAGAGAAAGAATAGCTGCAAAAAATAGAAATAATAATAATAATAAATATTTCCATTGGTCTCTAACCTCGATCATCTCGTCGCCTTGGATCTCTCGGACAGAAGTGAACTTGTTGGTCTCACATATCAGCTTCCCGTTTTCTTCCCTGACGGTGCACTGTTCCAAAA